GAAAAGATGAGTTCAGTTCGGATTCTTCTATCATTAGTAGCTACATACCCTTGGCTACTCTTCCAACTTGATGTGAAGAATGCCTTTCTCAATGGGGACTTGCAGGAGGAAGTGTATATGGACCTTCCAATTGGCTTTTACAATAATGTGGAAAAAGGAAAGGCATGCAAGTTAAAGAAGTCCCTATATGGTTTAAAGTAATCACTCAGAGCTTGGTTTAATAGGTTTAGAAGTGCATTGGTTGTATTTGGCTATACTCATACTCAATCCGATCATACTCTTTTTGTGAAGAGGAGGGGTTCACTGGTGTCAGTTTTGATAGTATATGTGGATGACATTGTAGTTACAAGAAATGATTTAAGTGAGATTGATACCTTGAAGAAGAATCTGCACAAAGAGTTTGAGATTAAGGATCTTGGAGAGCTGAAGTACTTTCTGGGCATTGAAGTGGCAAGGTCCAAACATGGGATCTTCATCTTACAGAGGAAGTATGTTCTAGATCTACTACAAGAGACACAAAAGCTTGGGGCAAGGGCAATTGATACACCTATTGATCAGAACCATAGGATAAATGCTTTAGAGGGTAAGCTAGTGAAGGATGTTGGAAGATATCAGAGATTAGTGGGGCGGTTGCTATACTTATGTATGACACCACCAGACATCTCTTATGCAGTGAGTGTGGTGAGTCAATAGATGCATGCCCTACAAGTTCAACATTGGGAGGCTATTGTTTGTTGACTATGAACAATTGAAGTTAGAGGCTTACACAGATGCTGATTGGGCAGGGTGTCTAGATGACAAGAGATCTACATCGGGAATTTGTACTCTTGTTGGAGGTAATTTAGTTTCATGGAAGAGTAAGAAACAGATAGTTGTGGCAAGGTCAAGTGCAGAAGCTGAATACAAAGCCATGGCACATGGTGTTTCAAAGCTCCTCAGGATCCGTTCTTTGTTAGAGGAGAGTGGAGTTGAGGCCAAAGAACCTATGATGCTATATTGTGACAATCAGGCATCTATTAACATTGCCTACAACCCAGCTCAACATGATAGGATGAAGTATATAGAAGTGGATAGACACTTTATAAGGGAAAGGGTGACATCCGGAGAAGTTTGCTTGCCCACATGTTGCATCTGACTTGCAGCTTGCTGATGTTCTTACAAAAGGAGTTGCAAGAAACAGTTGGAGCATGATTTACACAAGTTGGGAACGTGTGATGTTGAGGTTTTAGACAAATTGTGTAGTCTATAGTGGTAGTTTTTAATTATTTATCATTTAGATTAGAAGTGGGGACCACAACACTCTTGTTGGGTCCTTTTTGAACAGTTATTTTAATTGTTTTATGTGTTAGCCGCCCTATAAGGGCATATTGGTCTTTGTACTCATTATTTTAGACTATAAATAATAGTGAAGAGGGCTGCCAGCATTATTGCTCTCTTTTCTCTCTCAAATTTCTTCTCTTCCTTTCCTCCTTTCCTCCTTTCTTCTCTTCTTTTACAGATTTTTTATTTCAACATTTTTCTACTTGTGACATTTATTCCCAACTTGAGGGGGAGTGTTGAGTTTTGGGCTGATATAACATGTTTTTTTTATTTACATAGCATAGTTAGGGAGTTATTGGGCCTTAGGCCCATTAGTTTATATTTTAAGTTAAGAGTGTTTTTAAGTTCTCACAAGTAGTTGACTTACCAAGGCATACTTGTCTTTGTACTCCCTTTATTTATGAGTATATAATCTAATGAAAGGGGCGACCAGACCTAATTCTGAGCTTCTCCCATTCTCTTCTATCTCCCTTTTCTCTCTTTCTCAGCTGAAACCTTTACTTCTCTTTCTTTTCTTCTTTCTTTTACAGTTTTTTATATCAAAACAGGTTGTCCAAACTTTTCTACTCCCTGTCCAAATTGATTTTGATTTGGACGGAATGGATGGACCAATAAGACATTGAATTGGACCAGTCCATACATAATGGTCCAAAGTATTTATTGGATTGAATTGGACCTGGTCCATCCGTAATGGATTTATATTGAATTGGGTCGGATTGAACCAATATCCATTCTGTTAATAGAAGATAAGAATACATGTGTCAATGGACCAAGTTTGGGTTAGAACCATTCTAAATTAAGACCAATTTGAACAGATTGGGTGGTCTAGACATTGAATTGGACTGATCCAAAATGGTCAAGAGTATTCATCAGATTGGATTGGACCCGGTCCATCTGTACTGGACTCATTGAACTGGATCAGATTGGACCAAATCTGGTCCAATTGACACCCCTATCAACAACTTTTGTAAGAATAAGTGATTTGTTACAAGTTGAAGGGGTTAGAAGGACAAGGGGTAGACCAAAGAGTACATGGGTAGAAGTAGTAAGCAATGATTTAAGCGGAAATAATTTAACAATGCATATGGCATTAAACAGAACAGTCAGGTGAAACAGGATTCATGTAGCCAATCCCATATAGTTGGGATAAGGCTTGGATGATGATGATGATGAACACAGTAACTCTATGCTGTAGGCAGGAATTAGTCAGCCAATGGCTGTTTTGTTGATTGACATAACCATACTTCTCTATGTCAGGGATTACTGGTGTGTTTCATTATACTAGATCAATAAAGTTTTATGTTGCTAATGATAAAAGATCCCAATATTAAGGACCTATAGCTCCTGGATAAAACTACAAAAATGGACATGGATAAAGAAGACAAGAATACAACTATCAATTTCCTAAAATCTAGGACATGGATACAGGTACGGGTATCCCACTAATACTTATATCATGGTTTAATATCTAGTTTTTAAAGCTAAATGTCATTACTAGTTGAAATGATCTTTTCAAGTTTCAATTGCCAAGCGAGATGTATCTTTAAAGCAGTGTGCTTTGGGATCAACAAACAAATTGGTATTGATAGTTCATTATGAATATCCAAGGATCATGGCCTCCGGGTAGGGGGTCAATGCTGTGTGACTCTGGCTTCATGTGCACAAGCTTGTAGAGATGAGGTAAATAAGTGGAGTCAACAGCATGCTCCAATCTTGGGATTGGCACCTCACCAACCAAACAATAAGCCTCCTGAAATGAATGCTTTTAGAACCAAAGGTGACAAATCTTCATTACTTTAGCAACCACACACACCAAAAAAAAAAAAAAATAGTGAGAAGTCCTAATTTATTAATCTAACTTGTACACCAAGTAAGCTCTTAAAAAATATATGACCAAAAAGTAGCATATCTTGAGAGGATCTAACTGGGGCACATGTTAACCTATTTTACTGAGATACATCAGGGAAGCAGGGAAATAGCTAGAGAAGGTGTGTTGGATATGAAAGTTGCTAATAATTGAAGTATCTGAAACAATATGGCACCTATTTACAGGTATCTGGGTATCACAGATAATAACAATCTTGAAACTTCAATGGACAAGGTCTGTGAGGAGTCTTATAGATGCCTATATGGTCAGATGTAGAGCTGGTATTGATTAAGAACCAAATGGATGCCCACCTAGAGGGTGGTACATCTAATGGATAGTTTGGCTTAGCTAGGACATAAACCATGTGTCTGAAAGAGTGGGGGTTATGGTATTCAACAAGGGAACATAAGTAAACATTCTGGAAAGCCTACTACTTATATTAGATTAACAGAATTACAAGATTGACATCTAATAAGAATTGAAAACAAATGGCATTTTCTAAAAGGAACTGTCAAAGGATTGAGTTGTTTGTTTCATGCCCAACATGTGAATGTAACAGTCTTTATCATGGTGAAATTTTGGAAAGTGAAACATCCTTCCTGCACGAGTTTTCACCATTGTCTGTTTTACAATTTGTTTATATCTCATGTGAATGTAACATGTCAGAAAGGGACTCCCCCTATAGTTGGGACAAGGCTTAGATGATGATGGTTGTTATGTCCCATTTAGAAGCATGAAGCATTCTTTTCATTGTGCCTCTACTCTTAACCTTCCTTTTTCTCAGTGGGAGAAGGCACATTCTTGAATTTTCTCTTTTAAATTCAATGATATCATGACTGTGTCAAGGATTTGTTACTAGTGGTGTCCTGGTGGGACTTTTACCATCATTTTGTCAAATTGTTGAATGATGATATTAGAATTTCTTATTTTTAGAGAATAGTTTTAGGGCCTGTTCATTTGCTCTGAAGTCTGACATCTGAAAGTGCAATAATTACATTAAGAGGTATATTGGTATTGGTGAACTTTTCTTTCCTCTGAACTCTTAATGCAAAGAATGTTGTTCTGAATTCTGAATTCTGAAAATTATCAAATATCCATTTTGACCCATATATGAGAGTTTTTGTTTGTCTTTTTTGGGTGTATCATTGGAAAATAAAAAGTTGTATGATTGCACTTTAAGAGATAAGAGATAAGAGGAAACGAACAACCATTTTTCTCTTAAAGTTAAAAGATTCCTCTTAAGAGATAAGAGTTAAGAGGAAACGAACAGGCTCTTAGTTTGATTTTAGGCCTCTTAAACAATGATGACATTAAAAATAAAAAAAAAATAGTTTGATTTGAAGTGATATTGCTGAGTATCCTAATGGGCACACTGCTGTCTTTTGTGAAAATGGTGATTTATGAGGTTACTTAAATGTTTGCATTTAGTGAATGGTTTAGGTTAGATTTAAGAGGTTCTATGGATAATTAGTTGGAGCTAAACTTTGTAGCAAGAAGATAACTAAAGAAGTTCTAAACTTGCCTATAGAAAAGGAATTCTGGACTTGATATTATTTTAGACAGAGATATTAAATCAATATTCATCGAGTAGAAATATAGGAAAACCCAATTTTCATAAATGGGACAAGCCCTTGTGAAAGACAAAAAACAGTAGGATTCTTTTGTCTTTACAGAAGCTTATTTTTTGACTATTAATCTCTTGAGCAATTTGTGCTGTATGACTGAACCAATTTTGACAATCTTAGTTCTATACCCATGACCCAAATATAAAGAAAAGGTGGAATACTTACACTTTTCAAATGTGGATTTCCAGGAAGACATCTTTGAAGATTATGACCACTGTTCTGAAGAAGTCTACTTCAAATGGCCATGACAAACTGCCAAAGTATGAAGAGCAGCAGGCGAAGGTACTCCTGGTTATGAACAGTATTCCTTTAGCCTGTAAATTACTACTCGTGTTATTCATATGCATTGATTTTCAGGATAACCAAATTGAGTTTAAAATTCAAGTTCTTGGGACAAGTAATAAGGTGTTCTTGGCCTCTTTTCTTAACAAATTTTAGAGGATGTTACACCTTTTTGCAGATTAATGAAGTGAGACGTATGATAGGGCCATTGCCTGAGAAGTTGTCCATTTACTGTTCTGATGCATCAATTGCAAGATATTTGCGGGCACGAAACTGGAACGTCAAGAAGGCAACTAAAATGCTAAAAGAGACATTGAAATGGAGGCTTGAGTATAAGCCAGAAGAAATCCGCTGGGTTTGCCACCTTTTATTTCTTTATCTTTTTCTGTTAGTATTAGTTTGTAAAGCATTTACTGTCAAAGCAAATATAACCTTTCTGAGCTAGATGGCCTTGGTCTGATTCACAAGATAAAAGTCTTCATTTTTCTGGGAATTGAGATATTGGCTGTCTATCTGGCTTCATGGTCATTTGCAAATAATTTTACCATTCTGTTTTTGGAATTGGAATATTCTTTGTCAAGATATGCTAGTTTTCAGGACATAGTTTCCTTTTTTTCTTGCAATGTAGGAAGAGGTTGCCCATGAAGCTGAAACAGGAAAAATATACAGATCAGGTTATGCTGATAAGTATGGGCGAACTGTTCTTGTCATGAGGCCTGGTTGTGAGGTTTGATCTTACTATCCATCCTTTCTTTAGGTATTTCTTTTTTTTTTCTTGTGTGTGTGTGTGTGTGTATCTGCAATGGGGGAGGGGGGAATCTGTCCAACATGGATGCTAATTGTCAGACAAGTTTCACATCCATGCAGTTCAGTTCATACTTACGAGATGTGTTCCCAAAATAGTTTGGTTCTTCATTCCATGCAAGTCAGGAATATAGAAAGGATGTACTTGGAATGAGCTGATGCCCATTCCGACAAGAGAAACAGTAAACTAATTTTCATTATGTATTTGGCATTTGAACACCACATAGTGTGGCATCTCTGAATTTCATATAATGGAGTTTTCTTGTTAGTTGTTACACATTGGTGTAGTTTTGGCTGTGATGAGATTTAAGAGCAATGGCTCTATATGTGAGGAATAAAGGAAGTTTATCCTTTTATTTGTGATATGCAGCAATACACAAAAAAAATAAAAGGAAAAAGGAAAAAGAAAAAAGAATGAAAAGATATGCAGCCATACGGGCTCTAAGGCCAAATCATAAGTGGAACCTGGAACCATCTGTCATAATATCACGCACTTTACATTGTTCTGTCAAGTTCCCAATGGATATCTTTTTAATATTGATGCTTGACCATGCAAATTCTTTTTTCTTACAAGTTCTTGGCATCATATTAAAATGCAGAACACAAAGTCAACGAAAGGAAAAATTAGGTACTTGGTGTATTGCATGGAGAATGCAATTTTAAATCTATCACCAGAGCAGGAGCAGATGGTTTGGCTCATTGATTTTCAGGGCTTCAATATGTCAAATATTTCAGTGAAGGTAACACGGGAAACAGCCCATGTTTTACAGGATCATTACCCAGAAAGGCTTGGTGTGGCGATTCTGTACAACCCACCCAAGTTTTTTGAATCCTTTTGGACGGTATGCCTTGTCTCTTTCCTTTTTTTTTGTTATTGTTCAATAACATTTTCCTTTATTTTTTTCTCTTTATAAAGAAAACTATGAAGCTTGTAACCCAGTGAAAATGGGGAAAGAAGACATTGAATTTTATGCAGTAGGTTTTTGACATACCTGATGCCTAAAAACCTGAATATTTAAGTAAACTGAGAAGTATTGAGTGTTATGAAATTATAATGCTCTATGCATGAATTTACGCTAATTATAGATGGTAATTATTAGGGCTGCAACTTGGGCCGGGCTAGCCTGAATCCAACCCAACTTTTTTGGGTTGGGTTGGGTCATTGGTGAGGGTTAGTGTTGTATTTTGTCAACCTGACTTCACTTCGAATTAGGTTAGGGTACCCCTTGGGCAATCCGACCCAACATGAACCTGACTTCATTATTGCTACTGTATATATGTATTATAGTCCCACTACATATTGTCATAATCCATTTGTCTCAAGTCTTAAGCCCTAACCTCAATGATAAGTTTTCATTCCATAATTTTATGTTTAATTATTGCTGATTTCATTATTTTAGTTTTCAATAAGAGATGTATCATAATCTATTATAGATTCTGTTCATTTGAAAAATTCCTTTTTTTGACTTTTGTACTAAAATAACCAATAAAAAACATTAAGCAAGTAAACATGAATAAAAAAATATGGCCATAACAGTTGAGCTAGACTTGAACCCTGATTAAAACCAAGACAAAACCAGTTATAGCCTGGATGGTATTTTTATATTTTATAAATATGATGCCATGGGTCACTGGGTTGAACCAGCAGTCCAACCATCCCGTGACCCAGCAGCCTTTCTGGTTTTGTTGCGGCCTGAGGCTTATAACATCGAGTAAATAACCACTGCACTTTGTCTTGATCCATAGTAGTATTTTTGGTGTAGTCTAAGAAAATTATGCACAAAATAATTTAGAAAAAAGCCCAGTGATTGGATAGCTGTGGTTGTCTGATGAATATCCATGAGATTTAGGTGCAAACCAAATCATTCCAGAGGTGGGTTTTGACTCCTATGCATGTTCCATGTCTTCTGCTAGGATAGTAAGCTAAGCTTGTTTTTACAGCTCATTCATCCAAGTAGATTCATGCATCCTTATTTGCGCACCTCTGTGTGGTTAAACTTACATGCCATTGCAGGTGGTGAAACCCTTTTTAGAGCCCAAAACTTACAGGAAAGTAAAGTTTGTTTACTCTGACGACCTTAATTCCAAGAAGATAATGGAGGACCTCTTCGACATGGACAAGCTTGAGACTGCTTTTGGAGGAAATAGCCAGCTGGGTTTCAACATTAGCAACTATGCCGAGAGGATGAGAGAAGACGACAAGAGAATGCCCTCATTTTGGACAAGAGGGAGTCCTACGGCCCCAGAAACTACTCCAAATACGGTCCCATGTTTTATTACCATCAACTCAGGATCCGATTCTGATGACTCTGATAAGGAGCAAGCGAACAACACTTGTGATAAAGGAGTTGATTCTGAAGAATGCTCCCCTGATAATAACTTAACAGTGGCTAACAATAGTAACAACTGTGCTGGAGATTCAAGTTCTGGTGAAAGGTCAACTAACCTTCCAGACCTTGGTAAAGTGCACTTATCCTAGGGATCCAACTAACACTTTGACATCCTTAGATGCTTGCAACCAATATATGAAAAATATTTGTTCTTTTTCTTTTCTTCTTAGCCATGTGGACAACATGTATCTGATTTCTGGACAGTTTTTCTTCGAGAATAGAAGCAATGAGTTCCAATTAAGGCGTTTTTACAGATTTTCAGTGTTCAGCATTATTGTTTTATTTGGGGGAGGGGGAGGTGTGCTTTAAGATTTTGATAGACGTGTAAGATTCTATTATAAATAATTGATTCACAAATTTTCTTGTAACATTTTTTGTGAAGATACTTCATTTTTCTTCACAACTTTCTGTTGGCGGGCATAATTTTCTCTCCACAACACCGATGGGGGAACACTTGGGAGATGATGTGTGAGGTATGACGGGAGTACGGGATGGTGGGGTTGGTCACTTGGTTGGAATGTTCATAAAAAAGAAAAGTACAAACTGAAACTATGTAAGAGATGATCTCTGAGACTCTCACTTTAATTTTATTGTCAATGTTTAAGAGAAGAAATCTAGAATAGCCTTTTACATAAAAATGATGGAGGTGGGAATTTGAGGGACTCCTTTATATTATCTTTTATATTATTTGTATTTTGTATGCTGTTAGACAGTTTTGTATGCCCTTAGCTTTAATCAGAATGTACTTTATGAGTTTATTGTAAATGAATAAAAGTGCATATTTGATTCATGTTCCCTTGGTATATTTCTGTGTAATACCCTTTAACTGGACACTTAATGAGACTCGTGTTAGTTTAAAATATTCACAGTCAGTGAGTCGGTTTGGGGAAACCTATCCTGACAAGGCTGACACTGTGGTGCCACCAAGTCGGTTGGGGTGGCCTGTCTCAGCTGCCAGGGTGAGACCTTAGGCACATACAGTGTATGATTAATTGAATCTATGAACTGAACCAGATTTCCAGTATTGCCCTGGACCTTGGAGATTGATGGGCAAAACTGGAAAGTTACACCCGACYCCTAGACTCGATTATGATACTGCACTAGGTGTCGGATTGGGCTGCATTTGATATACCAATCAGTGAGATCCTTAGCGGGGGTCAGCTGCCAGTGAGACCTTAGGCACATATAGTGTATGATTAATTGAATCTATGAACTGAACCAGATTTCCAGTATTGCCCTGGACCTTGGAGATTGATGGGCAAAACTGGAAAGTTACACTCGACTCCTAGACTTGATTATGATACTGCACTAGGTGTCGGATTGGACTGTCTTTGATATACCAATCAGTGAGATCCTTAACGGGGGTCAAAACCTGGGTATGTTGGGACAGTCCGAGAATTCATCTGAGTGGGTGATCATAGTGACAGGATCAGCCCATTTGTCGGAGAAATATAAT